TAGAGAACGTCCCAAAAAATAATCTGTAAAATGCATCAAAAACGTTGCTTCAAAAATATGAATAAAAAGTCTAATATATAAATAAAATATCAAGAAACGACTAAAATCTAAATATTAAAAACGTAAAATATACAATATGAATTCTTTGCTCATCACATAAATGTATAAAATCAAAGTATTTGTTTTATATCATTTTAAACACCTTTATGTTTAAATAATAATTCAGCTGATTTAATGATTTTTTTTGTCAGTTCTTAAACTTCTAAGTCAGTAAATGTGTGTTAATTATTGTAGAATCTTCACCTTAATATTTAAATTTGTCATTTTAATCTTATTTTAATAAAAACGATCCGTTTCTGATTTCATCCTTTAACGCTGACGTTTCTGTAAATTTTCTAATTTAAACGATGAATCATTGTTTTCTGTTCCTTCAGACGTTCCTTCATCTCTTTTTATTAAACTGATTAAAGGCTGACGTTGGTTTAAGGTTCTACAAATGAGGGTTCCGTCTGAACACCAGAGAACCAGCAGCGTCCTGGGTTCCTTCATGCAGCAGCGTCTGAAATACGACCGCTGTCCGACGTTTTTTTTTTTTTTTTTCGACCAGCTGCAGAAGGACGCGTCGCTGCGACCTGTTGGCAGAACCGGATCGTAAATACGTGAGCAGCAGCAGCAGCAGCAGCTTCACGGCCGAGCTGACCGTTAAAGACCGTCAGAGGTCGTCTGAAGGTCACGAAGCTCCTCCTCACATCGTCCACGTTTGGTTCATTCTTTTATTACAAGCAGCTCGTCGGTCCGATTCTCCTGTTTTAACCCCTGAAGCCCAGAAATCACATATTTAGAGATGTTTAAGTGTTTTAGAACCGTCACAAACTCTGACACGGTTTCATCGTTTTTGTCATTTGTTGTCATTCTGTCCATCATTTTTCTCTTTTCGTGTCATTTATAAATGAGTTCGTGTCTCATTGTCGTCGTTCTGTGCATCATGTTTTCCATTTTGTTCCTTGTTTTATGTCGTTCTGTGTCATTTTTTGAGTCCCGTTGTCGTCGTGTTCTGTCTCGTTTTTGTCGTTTTGCGTCATTCTGTGTGTTGATTTTGTCATTTTGGGTTTGTTTTATTTGTTTTGTTTTTTTTTCCCCATTGTTGTCGTATTCTGTCTCATATTTGTCGTTTTTATCGTCTTGTGTGTCGATTTTTTCCCATTTTGTGACAGATTTTCCCCTTTTTTTAGTTGTTGTTTGTGTCATTTTCTGCCTTGTGTTTTTATTGTTGTGTGTTGTTGTTGTTTTTGTGCCATATTGAATTGTGTTCATCTTTGTTTTTGTTGTTTTGTGTCTTGTTTTTGTTGTGCTTTGTTTGTTTTTGTTTTTATGTTTTGTCTAATCTTATCTATCTCGTTTTTGTCGTTGTTTTCCCTGATTTATGTGTTTATATGTTTTTTTAAAAATTTGTGCCTCATTTTTGTGATGTTTTGGTCATTTTGTGTCCTGTTTTGTTGCGTTGTGTCTCTTCTGTTGTTTGTTTTTCCTGTTTTTAGTCGTTCTTTGCGTCGTTTTTATCATTTGTCAGCTGATGCTTGGTGCCGTTTCGTCTTTAGTCATTCCACCTTTGGTAAGAACATTCTGGGAACTGAAAGAGAACTTTATCAGAATGTTTTGTGACCTCATCCGAGCAGAGGAAGCGTTTTCCTCCGCCACCGGCCGCCTCTCTTCATGACTAACCGCCTGCTGTCCTCTCTGCAGCCATCTACGAGTCGTCCTGCGAGGCCTACAAGCTGAGTGGCAGCTCCTCGGGCTTCTACTTCATCGACCCGGACGGCAGCGGTCCCCTGGGCCCGGCGCAGGTGTACTGCAACATGACAGGTGAGATCATTGGCCGTCGTCACCTTTTGCTCTTTTCGAGCGGCGGGAAGCTCACTCGACGCTCCGGCCGGCATCGATCCGGCGGCTCGCGGGCCTCGAGTTTCAGCGGCCGGCTTCAGTCGTTATGTTTATACGGCGGCGGCCCGTCTTCATTAAAAGAACTTATCGCGGCGCCGCCGTCGGTCTAAAGGTCGCCCGACGAGTCGCGGGGAGCAGCCGCCGCTCCTCGAATTACAGAGATTACAACTTAACAAGCTTATAGATCTGAAACCCCCCCGGTGGCCTCCAGAGGCGACGGCGTCCACTGGAGCATGAGGTCATTAGAGTCAAAAGCCTCCCGGGAGCATTAATCTGCTCAGTAAATTTCACAGGTAGAGACTCGGCGTGCAGCCTGAGCCAACAACGAGCTGCAGGAAAACGCTCCGATGCTCAGGAGTGAAACCGCCGTTAAAACCACCTGAATGATGTCACGTAGGTCATCAGCAGCTCCGACTCACGGACAGGAGGTCCACGTGGAGGCATGTTTGGGTTGTTCCATCCCTGATTCACTCGAAGGTCTTTTACCACCGAGTCTGGATGTTTAAAGTCACATCTGAACCANGAGGCGTGTTTGGGTTCAGCAGCGAGCGTCATTAACGTGGAGGTTTGGTGGCGTTTGAGGCGTCTGACAGGTGACAGGTGACGGACGCTAACAGCATCTCAGTCTGACTCCAGACGTGTCGTCTCTTTAAATACTTTCCTCTCTGCAGCAAAACTTTAACTTTCTGATAAAATGACGGCAGTTTAGTGACGCTTCCTGGAAAACTGAGTGCAGGTCAAACATTACCCACAAACGGAGCTTTAACGAAGAGAGTCGATTAAAATCAGCTGTTCTCTGTTCAGGCAAAAGTGAAACTGAATTTCTTTCTTCTTCTTTTTTTTGCATCATGTTGAGGGAACTCGTCTAGTTTCTGCTCCTCGACGTTTGTCTGACAGTTAATTAAGATGCAGATTTGACACAAAGGATGAAATAAAAAGCTTTTAAAATACAAAACAGATTAAAACTTCCAGCCGTTGTGTCTTCTTCCAAACAGCAGGACGTAAAACAGAAACGTCTCACATTTCAATAAAGGCTCAAAATGTTTAATTTTTAAATATTCAGGTTTTTGTTTGTTTGTTTTTTATATTTTCAGGCTGTTTTATATATATATTTAAAAATAGTTACATAATAAATAAAGAATGTGGATAAAAAACTAAAAAATTATATGAAAATGTCCCACAAAGATTTTTATTTATTTTTTTAATCCAAAGTTTATTTTATAATCAATACAAATAAAATGCTTTAAAAATGTCCATAAATACAGAATCTCTAAATCTGGAGAAAAAAATATTGATAAAATGTTGTCAAAGATACATNGTTTCCTGCTGAGTTTCCGTCCACTATAAAGTCCATGTTTATCATTCAGTCTCTAGTTTCCAATGACTCCTTTAACTCTGGATCTTCTCTGATGGAACCATTTCTTCACCACTTTGATGTGTTTGGGCTCATTGTCTGGTTGGAACATCCAACTGTGTCCAAGATCAACCTTCTGATGATGGTCTGAGGTTTTAATCCTCCTTCTTCATTGTTCCACTGACTTTGTGTAAAGCTCCAGGTCCACTGGCAGCAGAACAGAACCAGAGCATGATGCTGCCACCTCCATGCTTGATGGTAGGTTTGGTGTTCTTGGGGTTAAAGGCCTCACCCTCTCTCCTCCAGACAGTGTTTGTTCCATCTGACCAGAACTTTCCTCCAGAAGACCTTTTCTTTGCTTGTTTGGATGATTGGAGGATCTGTTCCAGCTTTCATGGTGTGGAAAGATCCTTGAACAGATGAACCGTCCATAACACGACATCCTGGACGTCCAGTGTTATATTTCCTGTGTTTCTATATTTTCTTTGGAGGTGTTGAAGAATCCAAAAGTCAGGTGTAACAAGAGCTTCCAGCAGCCTTCAGCCTGTACAGGAACACGCTGAGTTATTAACACGTTATCAGACACATTTATCAGTTTGTACACAGTCAGATAGTTTTAATTATGACAGAGCGGCCTGTTGGAGTCCTACACTGGAGATTTGTGTTCTCTGTTCAGCTTCCATTTCACACCAATCCTCCAATAAATCAGCATCGTATCAGGATGCTGCCCTGTATCCATCATCGGCGCCTCCCAAACACACTGACAGCACAGTAAACAGTCAAATGCAAAACAACGGCTCTCCTTCCTGATCCGTCAGATACCCAGACTGCCGGCGCTTTGTTTCTCAACAGATGTTATTTTACCAATTCCCGCGTCGCACTCAGCAGAAGTTTTAAAACTTTTAAATCAGTCCTGCGTTGATGTGCAGCAGACTACAAATTGTTTTCAGCGTGTTATCTGTAATTTGAAGCCTCGCCGGCTGATAAACATCCCATCCTGTAGAATAGACCTTTAAAATCAGCACAAATTACGTTTCTAACTCAAGGAAAAGGAAAAGTTTCTGTCAGATGTCTACAAGAACTGTAGCACCATGAACGAACAACGTCTTTGTTTGCATCCAAATCTGACCGTCTGCACTGAATCTGGCTCATCTTGAACCAGCCCGGTGTCAAAGTTGTCGGTAGGTTAACATTTAACAGTTAACATCCACATGGAGGTAGAACCCAAACGTTCCCAGCAGAACGTTGCACTACAGCAANCCTCCTCCCTGTGCTGCCTCTCTCCTGGTCTCCTCCATCACTGTGTCTGGACAGACTGAGGTCCGGTCCTGTCTCTGGCTGCCGGTCCGACCCGTCCTGACCCGTCCTGTCCTCTCTGTGTTCCAGGTGTCTGCCCAACCTGTGCGAGCACGCCGCCCGCTGCTCCCAGACCTGGAGCTCCTTCTCCTGCGACTGCTCGGGGACGGGATACTCCGGAGCCACCTGTCACAACTGTGAGCGCCGTCTTCCCTCCTTTAGCCGCTCACAGCTCGTCCTCGCTTCGTCCTGCCTCGGCCCGGCTCTGCTGCTGCTGCCGGTTCTGTCTCCTCGCCTCTTTTCCTCTGGCGTCCCTAAACGGCGCCAGACTCCAGACCGACTCGGCGTGTAGGAGTTTTTCCGTGCGGGTGTCATTTCTTGACACTGCCTTGATAGTTGCTGTGGAGACAGCTGTTGGAAAGTGTGTGTGAGCGTCTGCGGCTCCAGAATACTGATGTCTTGTTTGTATGCAGGCGCTCCTGCCGCCGGTGGAGGGAACATGGCAGATGAGAGCGCCTGCTGAATTAAAAGCGGAGCCTTTCATCGGCTTCCTCCCCACAATCTACTTTTCCATCAGACCTGAGAGCTCCCTGATGCTGCCGAGCTCCGGCCCGGTTCAGGTGGTCTGACGGCGCTACCGGCGCCAGCCGGGGTTCTGGATCAGTCTGAGGAGGAACCGGTGGAGGCTGCACACACAGCTGATGGTCAACCAGGAAACACAACCAGCAGCTGGTCTCTGGCTGTCTGAGGGCGTTTGGGTTCCTGTCAAAGTGGTTTTGTTCCTTATTGTGGTAGTTTTATGTCTTTTTGTTGTATTTTCGACCCTTTTGTGATAATTTTATAGTATTTTTGCCTTTTTTCTGATCTTTTTGACACTTTTGTGGTAGTTTTGCATCGTTTCATGATAGCTTTTGTGGCGGTTTTGGTTCTTGTCCTGGAGGTGTTGGGCCTTAGTGGTGGTTTTCGATCTTTGGTGGTGGTTTTGTGCCTGATTGAGGTAGTTTTGTATCTTTTTATGCTCATTTGTCCTCTTTTGTAGTGATTTTGTGTCTTTTGTGG